ACGAGACATGGCCGTCCTTACTGAGCGCCGTGCTCGAACCGCAGGCTCCGCAGGCTGGCTGGCTGGACTGGTCCACGGCAGTCCATGGACGATTCAGCCGCGCCGGCAGACTGAGGGCCATTCCCGTCGCTGTTTCGCGCGCGTCTGCACGCGACGATTTATGAGTGCGAGAGAGACAGAGTGACGACAACTACTCTCGGAATCGGTACGGTGGCTGCCGGGTGCCGGGCAGGCATGTGTAGACTGATCTGCGTGGACCTCCGTTAAAGCGGTGTTTCATTTCGTCGCGCATCACTTTAGAGAGCCACCACGAGAAGTAAGTGGTTGCACCACCACATGCTGGCGAGCGACGCGCATCCGAACAGGTCACCCGCTTTATCAATTTGTGCAATTGCGCTCTCCTTAATTTTGGGATGTGTAATCTCGGGACTGTGTAAAACCCAACACCCTGGAGCGGAGGAATACTCTGGCGACCAGTTCCACGCGGTGGCACGGCGGGTCCGCGACAATGTGAATGGAAGCGAACTCGGGCCGAGTGCCGCCTGCATCTCCGCGAGGACCAAACTCCGGCGAGGAGGAAACCGACCCGACCTCGACGCATCCTAGCAAAAGGCGTGGCCGCGTGCAGCGGACGCAAGCGGACGGGGAGGGGGTCGTAACCCGTTACGATTCGCCCCGCCCCGCCCCGCACTGCGGCCTGTGGACGGCCCCTCCAAGGCCAGGCGGGCCCTCGGCCAGGTCGGCCAGGTCGGCCCTGCGTGGACCGAGCACGCCACACGCACGAACGCACGCCCTGCAGCCCCCGGCCTGCCTTCCGTCCGCTGTGAATGACCCGCCAAAGTGACTCGACCGCCAGGCCGCCCGGCCTGCAGCCCCGCGCTGTCTCTCTCGCACACACGGGGTGTCCCGCAGGCTCGCAGGGGTGCGAGGGAGACAGAGCGACGAGGCGTTCGGAATCTGCCTGCAGCGAATGCAGAGCTGCCCAAGCCGCGCTCAAGCCGAGCCAGGCCGCCGGGCTCAAGCAGCCAAGCAGCGCCGAGGCACAAACCGATTAGCGACTCAAGTTCAATGCCACGCGACGGAGGCCCGGCCCGGCCGGGCCAGGCCAGTGCCTTGCCCCGTCTGGTCACTCCCGGTCGCGCTCGGACGGGAGGGGGGGCGAGGCGCACCATACTACTTGTTGCAGGACTTGCCTGTGGAGCTGGCCATCCTCATCCGATGCAGAAGTCGTAATCCAAAAACACAAAGGTAATCCTCTTGGGTTCACTGCACACACACACACACGCGCACTGACACGCGACGACACGCCTCGTCCTTGCAGGCCCTTGCAGGTCCTTGTAGAGGCGGCGCACTGTTGCACGCTGCTGCCTGGCGGCCTGGCGGCCAGGACGATGAACCCAGGCAGGCCAAGGCAGGCGGACTGGCTAGGCCGGCGAGCGGACGGACAGACAGACGGCCAGGCGTCGCGACGCCGCTCCACGCGTCCGGCTGCTCCTGCTGCTCCTTCCCTCCCGCGTCCCAATCCCGATCCTGGCGAGGCGAGGCGAGGCGCGAGGCGACTCCGTGCCGATCCGTCCCGGCGGCTGCTCCGCGCTGCTCCGCGCTGCTCGCAGTGGAGGCAGGCTACGCGCTACGCCCGGGCTGGCTCCGACTCCGACCGGCACACTCGCTGAGCTGAGCGCAGCGTAGCGCACTGACTGGCGACTGGCCGCCGCACCGCGTCGCCCCGCCGTGCCCGCCGCGCCCCGCCGCGCCCCGCCCGCCCGCCCGCCGCGCCCCTCGGCCCCTCTCACTCGACCCCACCGCACGGCGGCCCGCCCGCCTGTCCGGCTGACTGCCTGCTCGCCTGCCCGGCTCCCCGCGACTCAGCAACGCCACTCCGCGCGTCGCGGCGTCGCGGCGCCCTCCGTCTTTGTCCAAGTGCGAAAGGAAGCAACTCGACGATGACCGGCCGCGTGGCCGCGTGGACTGCCCCGTCGGCCCCGTCGATTCAGGTGCCAAATCCGGCCCGGGGTTCGCCCAACCGCGCGTGGAGGCGGCGGTTCGAGGAGCCCTCCACCGTAAAGAAAAAAAGCGCCAATGAATGAATAACGAAACCAACTGGGCAAACCGTGGGAGAAACGGACAGCCGTAAACGTGAGGATTTTATTGGGCAAGCCAACCGAGTAGAACTCAGATGAACGCGGGTGAGCAGAGGGAGGCACGGGAGGCCTTGCCCTTGTTGCCAGGGCATTTCCTCCGCCATCAGATCTGAAGGATGTCGGGCGAGTCATTCGAAGTGCGGTGCGTACTGCAATGCGCAGACCGTCGCTTGAGCTTTCAGCGCAAAGGAGCGGGAAGAATACAGCTGGAGGCACAGCTTCCGACCGGGCCCCGAGTTGATTCGGAAAGGGGAACGTTTTGGTCACGGGGACAAAAGGTCCCCCTCCGAGCATCGAGCACTTTTACGATACCTGCGTTAAATGGGTTCACCGACCCCAGACCGCCCCAGACCCCAGCAGCGTGCGGCGGCGTGCGGTGTGGAGCACAGTGCACCGTCTCGTGGCGGCGCGGTCCGTGCGGGATTCACCGGCAGCAGGGCCTTTGGGGCCTCCAGGGGCACGGCGCGCACGGCGCAGAGCCCGCATGTGCGGTGACTCACGGCAGGGTGACGGGCCGGTTGGCCGGTTCCAGGACGGGGGTGCGTGGCCCACGGGCCCAACCCCCGCAGGGTGTTCGTCGCACCGTCTCCCTCGCACCCACGGGCAAGCACGGGCACCCCGCCTCACGGGCCGCAGGGCCATGCGCAGGGCTGCGAGGTGCAGGGGTTCGTTCGGTTTGGAATAAGCCCCCTGACTAAGCCCTTTGCTCACGAGGACTCGCTGCCGGTGGTGACGCGGTCTTGCCTGCCGTGGCACTGCCAGGGCACTGCAGCAAACGGCCAACCGGCGCCGCGGCGACACCACCTCGACGCAGTGCAACGCAGTGCCGCCTGGCCCGCGCGCCGTACCTCCTCGGGTAGGCAACCCTCCTGAGCAGGCACTGGGCGTGCTGCCTACCTGCCCGGCGGCCGGGCCGAGGCCGCCGAGGCCGCCGAGGCGGAGGGGTCCTCTGCGCGAGCAGCGCGAAGGCAAGCGAGGCGAATGGCTGGCCACTCTGCCGGCGGCCGTGGCCGCGGTCCGCCGAGGTCCACGGCCGACGCGCAATAGGCCTGGTCCTCTGCGCGAGCAGCGCGAAGGCAAGCGAGGCGAAGGCGGGCCACTTTTGCCGGCGGCGTGTGTCCGCGGTCCGAACCGCAGTGTCCACGGCTCGCGTTCGCCCAATCAGCGCCTGGCCGGCGTGGCGTGGCGCGGCGTGGGCGGAGAGCAGGCAAATGAAGGCGCCGATGAGGCTGGCCGCGTCAGCCGCGTCCTTGGGCTGCGAGGGCGGCCGGCCGACCAGGCCATGGTGGCGCGCGGGGCCGGTCCGGGCCGATCCAGGCATGTGTGGCGCTGCTTGGGGCCGGTCCGGGCCGATCCAGGCATGTGTGGCGCTGCTTGGGGCCGAGCCGGGCCGAGCCGGGCCGAGCCGGGCCGTGGCGCGCGGACGCCACGCCACGTCCTTGTCAGTCCTTGGCAGTCCTTGCTGGAAGGTCGCGTCGCTGGCCGTGCTGGCCGCCACGCCCCACCGCGCCGCGGGGCCGAGGGGGCCGAGGGGGCCGTGCCATGGGGGGCCGGCCATCCACGCCATCCATGGGGGTCATGCCGTGTGCGTCATGAACCAGCGCGCCATGCGCAGACTGCGCAGCCATGCGCCATGAGCTGGCGGCCTGGCGCGGGGCACGGTTCGTCACGTCATGGCCGCAGGCAGCAAGCAGCGTCTCCGCGAAATGTTGGAGTTCGCGGCGCGGTTTCGTTCAAGACTGTCCGTCCGCGTACCTCCGTCAGTTCATTTTCTCGAGGAAGGTCCAGCGAGCCGAGAGGCCGAGACCGAAGGTGCGGGGGAAGGCTTGTGCCCGCTGCCGCCCCTTAGGGCAAGGCCCCAAGTCCCGGCATAGGCGCGGCGCTCCGGGGACATTTTTCTCCAGGTTCTGCGCCGAGAGGGAAAGGGAGGCAGGGGGAGCCCAGCTGCGATTCCGAACAGTACCGTGTCGCTCTGTCTGCTCGTGTCCCGGACGGAACGCCGAACGGAACGCCCCACGAGCGCGACAGAGACAGCGTGACAGACGAAAGGCACTGTTCGGAATCAGCCAGCAGGCGGACAAGGTAACGGGACGCACGGCACCGCCAGGGCACCGTACGGCGCGGCAGCACGCGGCAGCACAGCGCGGCCGTGTGGAGGCAGAACTCGATCCAGAGGGGCGCAAGCGCTCAAGCGGGGCCAGGGGCCAGCCCTGGGCCTGCCCTGAGCCTGCCTGGTTCTGGTTCCATCAGGCAAAAAGGGACAGGGGAGGGGAGGGGGCGGCTCTCATCTCCCACTGGACATGAGCAGGAGCGGATCAAGAAAAGGGGGGAGGGAGAGGGGGCTTCCCTCATCATTTCAAAGTGCGAAGGTCTTTCCATAAGAAATGAACAGCAACAATTCAAAATCAAAATGAGTCGTCTCGGACCCATTTTTTCCTTGCACACCCTTTCGACTGACTCAATATTTTCAGACGCGGTCAGTGCAAAACTAATGCCCGTGTGGACCCGACTTTCATTCCAACGTCTGAAATTTATCTTTCGGGTTCGATTGGATTTGAGAATTTCACGGGACGCCATTGTTCCATGAAAAGAAAGACATCAAACCTTAACCTACAAAACACGCTGTCAAAACTAAAACCGACCAACGGCGAATGGGGCGTAGATAGTTTAGAAACGAGTCGATGGAGAAGTTAGGCAATATATCGTCGTAGACACGACGACAAATGGTTTTTGGCAGATTGGTGGCTGAAAGTGGACGAAGGATCGGCCCTACTGCCGCTGTCATGTAACGGCCGGTGTGGGACCATCGCGTATCTCAGCTCTGGACGATGTTGATTGCCAGAGTGATGCATCACTGACCTGGGAAAAGCAATGCAGGGACTGGGTGATCAGTTTATCGATGATGAGGCACCAAGTTTGGCAGCAAACGCCAAGACCAAGAAATCTTTTAACAACACAACAACCGTTACCGCACACAAACGAAAACAACAACAACTGCCTTTGAGAAATTTACTGACAACGAACTGCAGTCCGGATCCCCTCCCCCCCGCTCTTCCCCTCCCCGCTGCACCACCACACCACCTTGTTCCTCTCAGCGAGTCGGACGCACGGACGGAGTTTGTTTGTCGGCGTCGCAGTGTACAACTGACAAATTGCTATTTGCAAAGCGAATTTGCTCTTCCGTCACCATGGTACGCTGTAGCTAGTGCCCTTGTTTAGTTTCACGGTCTGTTTCACCGCACGCACTCGGAAATAATCGAGCTTTTCACCGCGCGCGGTCTTGTGTTTTGATCGGTCCAATCTCCGAACATCTTATTTTGACGTTAAATGGGGTCGCCGAAGTGAAACATTGAGTTATTTATTGACTTTTGAACATACACGAGTTGTATGATTGCACATTTGCAAGTTATATGCTTTTCTGAGGGCGTTCTGAGCATCTTTGCGTTTCTAACCTATATCGGGTCCTGGCTATTTACAAACAAGTTCCTTTCTCTCTGTTTAAATATGCCTTATCTCTTTGTTCCCCCTGTTTTTCACGCTGTATCGCAAATTCCTATTTTCTTCTTTAATTGATGAGTAGTTTAGGTTTGGATTGCGGTTGTGCTATGTACTGTGACCAAGTGTGTCTCGTCTCCTTCCGGCAGATGTCTTTCTCCCGGGTTATTTTGGAATTTTATCATATATTTCTTTGTAATATTTTTCCAGAGTCATACTATTCTTCTGGTTCAGCCGGGTGTAAAACCTGAAACAAGAACATACTCAGACTATGAGTCTGTTAATGAGTGCATGGAGGGTTCGTATTTTAGTCATCATACTATTAGAAAGTGATTAGTTGTTTCTCTGAATGTATCTTATTTTGCTGGTTTCAGGAGTTTGCAAGATTTATGAAGAACATTTGAAACGACAAAACCCTGACACACCTTGCATTACGTATGATATTAGCCAGCTTTTTGACTTTGTCGATCAATTGGCTGACCTGTCCTGCTTGGTGTAAGTTCCTTTCATGTCATATGCATGGGTCATTAGTGAACCACATCCACTAATGAGTTATATTTTTTTCAGGTACCAAAAAGGTAGCAACACGTATGCACCCTACAACAAGGACTGGATCAAAGAAAAGATTTATGTGTTACTTCGTAGGCAAGCTTCAAGTTCCAACAGTTAATCTTCTCTTCTCTTTTTCGATACTTCAAAGTGTCAAGGTTTCTGTTAAATCTTGTTTTTTTTTTTTTTACATCTCGATTAAGTACCTTGTAATTATTTTATTCACTGTGCACTATGACAAGTCAAGTGATGATCAAGTGTAATCCACTATGCTTAAAGTTTCATTTTAGTGTGACGTCTTTTTTTGAATCAGCAATTTTAAGGTTGATCTGTTGGTAATTGCATGCCAAAGTAATTCTTTACTTTTTGAATTTTTTTTTTTTTGTGAACTTCAATATACATCTTAAGTCATTAAGTAAGGAAATTAAATGTAGTCTACTGTGAAGCTCAGTTTTCTTTGCCCTCACAAACTCCTCCATTATCATCTGTCTGTGACCTGGCGGGCAACACACTTCAGTTTAAGGAAGGTTCATAAAATGTGACTGCGAATAGCAGCATCTCGCACCTACCCAATTATGAGATTCAATATGCAGTGAAAGTGGGGGGGGGGGAATCAGTACTGTGGAAGGCAAATCAGCTTCAAATTTATTCATTCAATTATGATTTGTAGATCTCTACAGCAATTCATTCTACCTATCCAGGACAAAACTGAATATTTTGTTAAATTGGCTAAAGGCAATTAAAGGAAGTACAAGAACAAGACATCAGCAGTGTAATTTCAAAGTACGTAGATGCTGATTCTCACCCTAATGAGATAACAGAAGAGAGATCACTTATTTCTTCATTCACCTTCTCTTATCAACTGAAATGAATTGATAAGCTATGAAGGTGAAATCTAAAATGACACCTCTGCTGAAAAGAATTTATGTATGGAACTGCCCCATTCAGGAGGGGGCAGGAGAGGAGTGACTAAGACAAAGTTCCTAAAACGATTCGTCAGTGTTTCTTATGAAGACAAAAAAAGAATGACAGTTTGAAATATTTAAATGAAAAAAAAATAAATACAAGTAGAGGCTTAGAAGCTAGAAACAAGGTAGGGTACCACACCAACTTCTTCCTGGTAACTTCTCTCCCCGAATATAGCAAACCAAATGGAATGTCTGAGGCAGTACAGAAAAAATATAGCGGAAGGAACAGAAAAGAAACACTGTGCTCAAAAAAAGAGCAGCAAAGTACCTCCATTAGGTAGGTTGGTTCAATGTGATGTAAGAATTTTTCAGCAAGTCATTTAATATAAAGTGAAGGCAAGTTGATTGACCTCTACTATGGCTCCACATGGTCTCACTGTGTATTGTTCCTCCAATCAATACAGCCAATAAAAAAATAAAAAATGGAAAAAATTCTAAAAATCATGCTTGATAAAAGCCATGCTTAAGTCCTACACTAAGAAAGAAAGGAAGGGTCATACCAAATTACCAGATTTGTGACAGATTGAGAGAGAGAGACACATATTTCCTCAAGCTACTGCTTAAAGACTGATAACAAAACTGGAAATTGCTTCCTGTTTTCTGATTCTTTGGAGACTAGGTTTGATATTCTCACTTCAGATTTATCTCTGAAAAAATTTAACTTGCTAAGAATATTTACAACACTTTTTTTGCAGGGAACATTATGTAACATCTTATATACATATTACAGAAACTCACTGTCCAGTGTAAGTTAAGTAAAAAATACTGCAGACAATTCATGTGTCAAGAGGAAAATGGAATAGCATGACTAATCCATGACAGTCTTTAGTTCCTTTGAAGGATAGCTTCATATTGAATCCAAAGTGTGTTTGTCAACACTTTGCCATTGTAGAATGTGAGTTCTATTGCCTTGATAGAACTAAGATGCCTTGTCCTCCCTCTTGAGATTCACAGCCTTGAAGACCGAGGCACAAGACAGCCCAAGCCAGCCAGCAGCCCAGGTCAAGAGTTTTGGTCCCTAGATCAGCTCAGCCAATTCTGTCTTCAGTTGGGGCGGCTCGGGATGAACGGTCTGTCCGGTATTCTGGGAGGGATCGTGGGCACAGGGCGCCTGGAGAACACATACATAAGCAAAAAGAAAAACTAAGAAATTTAGAAAATAATAAAAGTAATTCTAGGTGCAGCTAAATAATGAATAATTTTAGAATGTGTACTTTGTTCCACAGCAATTCTTCCTAAGCACTACATTAACACAAAACTGGTTAACCATTTAATGGTTAACATATTAACATTCTTAGATAGGATTGTTAACTCCAGAAGAGTGCAAAGGAGAAAAACAGGCAAAGGCATGCGCCAAACCAAGCGGTAGAGTGGCCAAAGCAGGGCGAGGTTGCTTCCTATTGGGGATAACACGGATAACTGCTAACTCAGATTACCTAAGCTATAAAACTGTTCATGCTTCCTATTTGCAATTGGTACTATACAAAGATGTTGCTCAGAAGATGTTACATTTACTCCATAAAAATGACACAAGAAAATTTCTTTCAACTCTCTGGTCTTCCTTTTCAGTTGTAGATTCGGAGTTAACTGAATTGTTGTTTTCAACGGATCCGGTAAAGGCAATCTCTTCAAACCTTCACTTATATCTAATGTTGCACTCAATATAGTGTCTTTCTACTTTATGATGTGCTACAAAAGGGAAATTTAATACAACAGCCAAAGATTTATTTTTTAGCATATTTATTAAGATTAATAATGTGAGGGCTACAGGTTTATCTCTGCTAGCTGCTAGCACAGTATGTAACCAAGGGTACACAAGTAGGTTATGAGCTGATTAAAGGATGTTAATTGACATATCATGCAACCTTGAAAACAGAAAAGGCAGCCAAATGTGGTCTTCATCCATCCTTGGTCTAAAAATCAGCAGATTTAACAATGAATGTGGTACAAAGCTTGACATTTGCAAGTGAATATCAGTCAAGACCAGAAAAATACACACAAATTTATGTACACAATAAATGTCAGTTAGAACAGCGACTAGAGCTTCTGCAGTTCATAGTGTCGCTCTTTGATTCCTTTACAAGAGAATAATAATTAAAACCAATAAATAGGCACAGTAAAATCAGACCAAATAAAATCCATAAAAGTGAAATGTGTTGTTTTCCTGTAATGATATTTTTTTCATGTCATCCAACTGTTATGCACTGAAAGAGTCGATTTGAGATATGCACAAGACACCCACAGCATCAAGAAACCCCCACAATTAAAGCATCACCAAAACAAAACAGGTCTAAAACAAAATCTTTATAACAAAAGCCCAGATCCTATAGCCTTCAGGGAGAGTGAGTCACACAAATAGCATCCTAAAAAAAAACTCACAATTCCCATGCACACTAATGCAACAAAACTTAGCAGAACATGTGTACACAAATGGAAAGATTTTAATTCATGAATTACTGCGAACATTCATGCTAATGCTTACAGCTACTGACTGCACATTGAAAATCGACAATCACATTGTGAATGCAAAATAAAAGACACACTTATTCAATGTAGCAGCCTGTTACTACTATTACAATTTGCCTTGGAACAAAGGTAACCTCACTAAGCCTACCAATGCCGCTTTAAGTCATTAAGAGTGAAAATTCACATTACATTCTAGAACATTCAAATAACTCCCCATCTGATACAAGTCCCTTGTATAGAGGGGAGGGGCTTCGGGGAGGGATTGGCCAATATACATGATCTGTAAGCTTACAATGAGCATCATCCAACTGTGACTCCCCTACGAAGGCTGCATTCGATAATAGGCAAAATGCCTATGGTGCCTGACTGGTTACCGAAGTGGCACTGAACGTACATATTAACACTGTGGGGTGCACAAACAAAAACAGTTTGCAGAAAATTAAACATGCATCTCTTATTTGTGTTTAGAACTAAGTACTCTAGACAATTATTGAGGGGAAAACATTTACCTCTGCAAGAGAATTAGAATCATATTTTCTTAGAATAATCACGCCACCTTGAAGAAAATTCTGATGTCAACAGATTTTTCAATACTGTTTTAACAAGCCTTCATACAAAACCATAAAAATATAATATAGGAAAATGAACTACGACAAAAGTATCACAATTTCAACATCAATTGTAAAGCAGGCCTTACACTAAAGGAAATTATCAATTACACATGTCTCAAATAGTTAACATTGAGTGATGACAAACAGCTTGTGACAGTGGTATTCATTTCTTTTTAAACATTTATAGACATGACAAACTTCCAGCATGGAATGAAGAGGTATTGTATTGCATTAGAAATTATAAAAATGTTAGGTCACTTGTCAACAATAACAAGACTGTACTTCGTTCCTCCAAAGTTGAGACAAGTAACATCATCAAAACGCGACACCCTTGAAACAGTTTTAAAGCTGACATACCACACCAAAGCAAACTGAAGGATATTTTCAGGAATTCCGTTAAGGGGTACATTCTAGAATCCTCTTCTACTGACCCTTCTTCCATAAACATCGATGTAGAAAGGTCGAGGATACACCAGCATAAAGTACATAGGTCTATGTAATATGTGCCTCACTCCTACCAATAAATATCATAACTCTTTTTAAAATTTTGCAACAACAGCAACAACAAGCATAAAAATACATTTGTAATTGTATAGCTCCAATAAGGGCGTTATAGTATAATACTTTGTATCTTCTTTTCAATGTACACTGTACAATGTGTCCATTTAATAACTATGGAATGTACATCACCTAAGACAAACAGTGAAGAAAGTGCAACGTATGTAATAAGGAAACACTGTTTGAATCTAATCTTATCTTAGTTCTCAATGCTGTGACCAACAGTACAGGACCTAAATTATTGAAGTACCTAAGGTTCCACTATAAAGTGAAAGATACTAGCACATTCACATGTGTGACTAAATGTTTTAAGCACTGGCAAGACATTGTTAATGAACAGCGTAAATTTTGGTCATCAATAACCTTCCCATAATAAGCTGTTTTCAATATCTAAGGGAGCCGAGAACGCAGACACACGGCCAATAAAGCAAATGTCATGGAATAACTCATGTCAACACAATTTCATCAGCCAAAACCATCAGTTTGAGGCTTACTTGGGAAATTTCTGAAAAAATTCCAAAGACAACTTCCTAATACCCTAACTTGAATCGTAATGAAAGATTTTGCAATTCAATGAAATGGTAATGGAGTCTAAATATCAAGAGAGTTACGAAATAATTTGCAGAAACAGCCCACCCAATTTTCAAAATCGATTTTTGAGGCTATCTTGAAATCTGGAAATGATGATGAGACTAACAACAAGATTTAAGAAAGTTACTAAGAACTCAATATTTTTATCAGGCACACACTAGGGGTAAGGTATGGACACTTCTCACAAAATATTTACAAGGAAAACAAACTTACAAGAAAATTAAGTCAATATATAATTGTTTGGGTTGTCTTTTTGCAGTCCCATCTTGCAGAACTCTCACAAACAAGGGGACAATGCTAAGTCAATGAAAGCCAGAGTGTGTGCGCTTCAACAAAATACCCCTCACACAGACTATCTGCTTCAACATGAATCACATCTGTATCTACACAGAGCGTTCTATGAATTCATATGGGTTAGGCCTATCCATATTGGTAATAAGGGATATGCAACAATGAGACTTAAAATATCTACCAGCTTGATGAAACAAAAAGCCAACTTCTTGGCCGCCTAAGACATTATTTTTAGAAAGCTTTATACGCTACAGAGAAGAAGACTGAAGATGATGCATTCAGCGCTTGAAAGCACCCATAAATTCGTTGACAGCGGCTCGCGCAACAGCTTGTCCAACGGCTTGCTGAACCTCCTGCTGTATACGTTGGGGTATTTGTGGCGTCTGTCCCCGTCTGAGATCCCAACGTTAACAAATAAAACTCCGTTAGAAGCGCTGAAGATGATGGCTGCTTCTTCCTTCTAGTCGGTGGAGTGTGCGGATTTAATAACTTAGGTATTTTATGGAAAATCCTCAGCACACAATGAAAGAAATGTAAAGCACAAGAAGAGAAAAAACAAAGATCCTACCACTCTAACGCATGGCAACTGCTATAATGCAGTAAGTTACTTAAGAACAACTTTATTTGCATGGAACAAACACACAAATGGTGCAATTTTAATTTTTTTTAAATCTTATAATAATTAAGACTATAATGCAAGTTACCAAGCCACATAAGCTAACAATAGAAGACTCAAACATTTGTCTCCATCAATTTTCAAGGGATTTCATCACCAAAAGATACTACAAAGAAGTGCTTTACAATCTCCCAGAGGTGTGGGTTGTTTGCAGCAGGGAAGGTTACAGATGTTAGGAAGCTGCCTAACGGATTAGACTCATGCACACCTATTGGCGGCGCCTGCAAGAGAAAACCACGCCGCATCTCACACCAAGCTCAGGAAGGCACGCCAACATTGATAAAAAGAAAACAGCAAGAATAACTTCTTAATTGTCCAATCTAATCGAGCCAAATGAAACTTCATAGTATGGAGAACAGTTCCATACAACCTCATGGTGGTCCTCAAAAAAAATAATTAACAAATGAAATTGACAGATTCAAATTTAAAGTGTAAAGTACCAATCTGCAACACTAACCATATAACACTGCTAAGGAAAAGAAATAAAGTGATCTGAAACCTCAAACAAGCAGAAGATTTGGATTCCTGTGTATCTCATACTGGATACCGCAGATAAATTTTCCCACACGCTCATCGAGCAAAAACTTAATGCAAATTGACAAATTACAAGGTTTAAATTTATAATTAGCAGCTGTACAGTTGGAAAAAGAAGCCCGCACCAAGGAATAGAAAAGTAATTTTAGCAAAAACTAAGCTCAGTGCCGCACACACCTTTCCCAGACAAATGTCACAACACAAATCAATTTAACGACCAGAAAGGACAATGGAAGGTACTCGTTAGCGCTTGCAGAGGGCAAACACACTGGACTATGATTCACCAAAAACAAATACTTACGAAGGAATGAGCGGTGGGGGCAGGCCAGCACCAGCAGGTCTGCCTGGAGGCATCGGTGGTCCTCCCGGTCCGGGCCGGTTGGGGATGGCAGGAGCAGGACGTCCGCTTGCAGGGGGGACTGGCGGTGCTCGGGAGCCACCACCCATGCCACCGCCCATGCCGCCGCCCATGCCACCCATTGGTGCAGGATTCATGGGCTGCACACCTCTTCTTGGGCCACCGGGAGAAGGCGGAGATAACCTGCCGTCATATAATCTTTTCAACGCTTCACAGGGTAAAGCCAAAGCCACATTCAGATGTCTCGAACAAATTTGAAGTTCTGAACAATTAGCAAGAAAATGTAAGTAATCAAAAGCAGATCACACCTGGGATTGTTGTCGATTGAAGAGGCAAGCCAGTCATTCTTGACGGGTGGTGGCACTGGAGTGGTGACTGTGGCCATGGAGACGTCACCAATGATTCGGAGAGCTTCTTTACATGCGTGGTACATCCTCAACATTTCTTCACGTTTCAGGGCTTCTTCTGGACTCTCTTCCATCATTGATGACTAGGCAAAGAAGTGCAATACATTTAATATGACTTAATTTGAATCAATTTCCACACTTGAAGTTGCACAGCAACACTACTCACTTGGTCTCCAGAAGCATACAGATGGGCAAGAAGCTCTCCATTGATAAAATCTTTACAATTATTGATGATCATCATCATTATAGTTTTCGGCACCAAATCTCGTGTCGTCTTGGTAACGATTCTCATATAAGAGTCAACAAGATTTCGAATAGTTTCCACTTGGCGCTCTAGCATTGGATCCATGGAAGAGCTTCCTTCATTTCCACCCTGCTGGAAAAGAATTGAGCATCAAATTTCAAGTCCTGTAAAGATGACCCTTCAGTTAACCTTTAAAATCCTCATTTAAAATGATACACAACAATCAATTTTAAAATTAATAATTTTCCGCATTAAGATATCTATGGAAAAAGTACCCCACTCCAAAATAAGATTAAAGTAAACACATTCTAAGGAGAGAAAAAGAAAATCGTATCATAGTACTGGTAAGTTTCTTGTCGCGTATCAGATGCAACAACCCCACTGAAGAAAACAATTAAATTAAATTTCAGAAAACTACACTGCTCACATTTTTTTTTTAAATCAAAGAAAAAGAACTGGTAAAGTCCCAAATGAAAGCATTCCTCATTCACATTATTAGTAAAAAGACAGATAAGAAAAAACAGCACTTATGCAGTCCTGTGGCAACTGCACTGACATGCAAATATAAATGAGTCACAGAACCATTGGTACCAAGGCTTAACTCTGAAAAGAGAAATTAATTGCTTCTCAAAACTAATGACAAACCTTACACATTACATGCAAACAGAAAATAATGTTGGAAGCTTTCTTCCATTGCAAATCTACAACTGCTTTGGATACAAATTAAAAACATTCTACCAATAGCTTTCAGTTTGGTCAACTTTGTTCAAAATGGTGAAGAGCTTCCCAATTAAAAACAGATAATGCATGACAATCTACTCATATCAAACAACAGTTATTCTTATTCTTTTTTCTGAGGTTTTTACTCTTAAGAATAGGAAAAATGCGTGAATTCATTGACAGAAGATTGATTCTAGCCAAAATTCTACAGTGATAATTATTAGCTGCGAGTGTGTAAAGAAAATGTTCGGCAAAAAATTGGAAAGCTCTGGAGAAATTGTAAACAGGTATTAGAACAAACCAAAAAGCAATGTTTCATGTTAACAGGTAACTGTGCTTCTTTTGTGAAAGTCAAGTGCGGGAAAAAACAATGCTAGTGCTTTATACAAAAAGGGCATTCTATGATTGTGTTTGAAGTTCAACCAATCAGTTGCTGACACATCACAAAAATTAGGAAGTTAAAAAGCAACAGATATATTTTTTCTGCAGCTGTTAAAAAATATCAAGCAGTGATTTTCCTGCAAATGACAATTGAAAGATCATTGGTGCAAATAATGGAATGGAACTGAACTGTAAAGTAGAGATAAAAATGAATGATGCCTTAGAGCTAACATTAAATCTACCATGCATAAGCCCCATATTAGGCAGATTAAGATTTAAGATTTAAAGAAAAAAAAAACTGTCATAAGGCAAAACCAGTCTCAAAATAGAATAGTGGGAAATGCATCCCCCTTTCCCCCCCAAACCTTTCCAAAAATTGACGAAACATAAAACCAGATTATAAAATGACAATAATCGTTCAATTGTTTGATTCCTAACAAGACCCCCTACTAATTTCACGGTCATAAAGGACAAGGCTCATTACTGCATTGTTTAGTTATTGGCACACTTATAGTATTGACCCTTGCCTAAACTATGTGACAATCTCCTTCCCCATTATAGATGACATGTTTGGATAGTAATGATTTTACTTAAAGTGTGGAACCAGATAGAAGGAAAAATTGACTGGATAGAGAAACAAAATGATCTATCGAGGGCTTGAAAATTGCATCTACAAAGAACTACTGAATCTACTATAATAACTAGTGTTCTTACAAACCTCAAAGCCCTCCAATGATGATAAAAGAGGAAAGAGAAACAAAAGTAATCACTAAATAATTGTCCTTTATGCCGACTTACAACCAAATCTCCTGAAATGTTTCTACATTAAATTTTTGTAAAAAGAAAAAAAAATTGTACAAGGCATACTGATTATCCTATATGCCTTTCCACATTAGTCCTGTGATAAAGATCCCCATAATGGCAAAACACATTTTGCATATTCATTATGTGCACCATACAGTCACTGAGCCAAAAGAAAAGGAAACTTTTTCAGAGAGACCAAGAGTAAATTCATAAGAGGAAAAAGGAAATAAAAAAGGAATAACAAGGAAGAAAATGTCAGAGGCAAACGGCCGTACTTCGCTCGTATCATCTAGGATACAACAACACGAATTATGGAAGCAAGAAAAGACACCTCACAAATCTGTTGAAAACAAACTGGTTCACACAGCTGGATCGATATTCCTTCATGAAAAAGGCAAATCTAATGAGCCAATTTCCCGATCTGAAGTGTTTGAGGCTGCATTAAGATAATGTTTTAGTTTGGAAGGCTGTCAACTAATAAAGATTAGTAAGGACCATTAAAAGTTGCCCCTTAAAATGTGCCATTAACTATTTAATTCAGAACATTAAGAAAAAAATACACAATCTACATGAAAGACAGAATTCTTCTGCAACACAACATGAACAAGATGGGTAGAACAACACACGTTGTGTGTTCCTTTCTTGCTGCATTGTTATAAAATTGGTTTATAATCCACATCATAAGTACTTAAAAGCAACCATGACACTGCAGATTTAGTGTTTGTCTCTTTCTTTGGAAAAGGGGAGGGATAGGGTTTTGAAGAGAATTTTTTCATAATTAGTAGGTTAGATGCTGAACCCAGCGACACTGATCCTGCGATGCAGTCCCAAACCAAGATGTCAAACCAAAATAGTTTAAAAATGTGCGTGCTGTTGACTGGGTCAATACGTGCCGGATCCACACTCTTTCTCTCTCACTAACACACAAACATAACCTTCACAACCTACTACATACATACACCAAGCTCGATCGGTCAATTGCTACTTCCTACTCAAAGAAAAATACAATAGGCACTTTTCAAATATGACCAATGATATCCTATGTAATGTACTTTTAAGGAATCAAGCTTCAAGTCCTCATGAATGAACTTCACCAGCAAGTCATTTCTGCACTTACCTAAGAAATTTTCAAAAGAAAACTATCAACTGTTGTCAATTTTTAAAAAAAGATGAACTAAATTGAAAAGAACATAAAGTGACACTTATACTGGTACATCCACACATCCAGACATACAGACAAGGAGCTCAAAGATGAAAGATATGAAATAGAAGCAAAAGAAACAAAAAGGCAGAAACAACCAAACAAAAACAAGCATAATGAGGGCAGCAAATACGTACAGGGTGAATTAAAAAAAAATTAAAAAAAAAAGAACCAGAGGAGGATAAAAAGGGTCACAGCACCAGTTTTAGATAGACTGCCAACCAGCATGAAGTCTCCGCTTCTTCCACGAACTTACCCTGACCTTGAGAAAAAGATACAAGAGATAAACTTTACAAAAAACAATTTAGAAGTAAAAACTTTTGTATTGAAAGGTTCATTATAGTCCTAAATATTTTTCTAACCATAAAATGATAAACAAAAATAAAGTTCTAGAGTGGTATTTATTTTGGACCAAGGATGAATATTGTCAACATTGGGGAGCACATCACATCAAGGAAAGATGAAAGATACAAGAATTTGAAACTTACTTCCTCTCCGTTGCTCTGCTCTGTCTGCTTCTCCGGGTAGACACCAGCACGGAGGAACGACGCCTTCCATGAATCGACATCATCTTGAGTTTCACAGCTGAGCTCAAGCTGCTTATAATCCTACAATGACAGTTAAACACATAAGTTACAACTGTGTCATTTCAATGGTAATAAAAATTCATAGAGAATCTGCAAAAAGGGTATGGTACCTTGTAAACATTCCTTCCTTCGGGGTTGAAAAGTGCAAATGTATGACGCCGTGACATAAAGCCCTGTTCAACATCACGGAGCTTCAAACCGTCAAGAGGGAGCATATATTTCTTTTCACGTTCCTGAAACCCAAATTTTGTTTTAGATGTCAAAAGGACAGCTAATCAGTATGACTTAAAGGGCATTATTATTATCATGATTATTATTAATATGCTATTATTGTTATGATGATTCTTATACAAACCTCTTCATCTTTAAACCACGAAATACTCTCTGAAGTTAGGACAAACCAATAATCCCTGCTGCCACCCTTCATTATTCCAAGGTTGTGGATACACATGTACCCCTTACGAATGACCTGGTTGCCAAGCTTGCGTCCTGTCTTTGTGGAATTTTCCGATTGGTTCTGCGCACTGAAAAAGATGAACAATGCTTGTATTGCAATTAAAAGATCTCCACACAATGTACAGTCAAGAATTATTGCCTTTCCTCCAAGAAAAAAAAAAAACATCACAAGCAAAAATTATGCAAAATGCGCAAGCAACTCTATCAGCCTTGGTAACATTGTAAAGAAGAAAACTTGAGGCAAATAGATAAAAATTTATTATTTGTCAATATAGTGAATTTCTTTCTTATACAACAACACTTTTAAGAAAATTCTACAGAAATATGGTTAACAAAGCATCAACCTGGTACAAAATAAGAATACCAGGAAGTAGAAGCAGCACCAACAGTGGTTATTGTTTCCCTTCCTCTGATTTGCCATTTCCAGTTTGTTTCGTTGCACAGCAGTTGATTAAAGAGCACTACTATGCATAGAAAGTCAATGAGAGCAATCATTTCTTGAGAAAACAAAGTTAAAGGGAGGAGGCAATCTCAGTAGGGCCAACAACAAATAATTTCAATCCTGGTAGCCTATCACCAATTCACATTGCATTGAATTTTAATCCAATGGTAAGCAAAGCAAAAAAAGCAAACAAAAACCGGATGAGAAGAGCTAATGAGAGTGACCTTGTGAGAACTTCTATTTGAGAATATCTGTTAAAATGGGACCCTTTAGAACCCTTGTGCCTGATGGAGTCAGTGCCTACACACAGGAAGAGTCTAAATACACAAAAGAATTGTGGTCTGCAAAATGTTGTTTTGAGATTGGGAATATCTCCACCACTTCTTTTCACTTTTGTCACAATGATGGTGCAATACAGTGTTACACATGGAGTAAGAGGTAAGCTGAACATAAGTGCATTTACAAAAAAAGTCGAACCAAAAAAAAAAAAAAACACAAGGATGTCATACCTCTGCATAATGCTGTTCGAAGAGATGTCCATGAAAGCAAAGAGGACACACATGATTCAAAAAAAGATTTTTAAAAGTGTAATGCTGCTTTACACTCCTACATCACTAAATCACATGAGCTTCATTGCAACGCTCTAGTACAAAGTTATACAATCGCAAGAGAAAGCTTTCTTTTCTTATTAAAAAAAAAGGTCCAAGTAAGACTGTGTCTGCTAAAAAGAATACTAAATACGTATGCTCATCATTTCAGAAATGGCCAAGACATGGGTCCAATTTAGGAGATATGTCATGATTTGAGAACAGAAAGAATTCTAGGGTAAAATAATAACCAACACACATCAATAGTAATTTTTTTAAAACTTAAATGCTACTTTAAATTGAGTCAGAATCAACAGAAAATTATGCAGTGCAAGCTGATCACACATGTGAAGTTTAAAAGCAGAGGAGCAGACATTGGTATGCCTATGTTAAGAAACAAGGGGCGATCTCTAAGGACAGATTAATGTTACTTCAGATAATTAAAGGGAAGAATATTGACAGTTTTATCACCCTGCAGAGTGCCTTCAGACTTCTGCTCGAATTAGAATAGAACATTGACATTGTTATGAGTTGAATTTAATACTTCCAACAACAAAGTGAATAAAAGTGACAAGAGTGAGAAGAGAAATGGAGAGAACAAAAATGGTGTGGCTGAAATTATTAATATTGCCCATTTAAGAAACAAAGCTATCATTAGCTTGAAGTTTAATTTATTTAATATTTTAAGACCAAACATTTTGAGGGAAACTAAATCTAAGACCATAGACATAGGACCAGTAGGGATTAGGACTCAAACATGTGTCATCACTTAATGACACACCAAGCTCTCATATGTTAATGAAATTCAGTGTAAGTTCAGTTCATCCAATTAACAACCTAAAAATAAATAAATGGATGTGTGCTTAAAAACTGCATGATCTACATGTTCCAGCTAAAACACAGAAAGCACTTGGACAAAACGTTAGCACTTCCAATATACAAACTAATCTTAACCTAATCCATTTGCCAGTTAATGATGCTCTAAGTGAGGGTATAATAATTAATTACTGCTGAGAAAAATTTGGAACAATTTACAATAATTGGTAACTAGATTTGCAGTATGACGCTTCACCATGCAAGCAGAAAAAAAGGATTATCCCCTTCTCTAGAAGTTGCTTCAATATCAGAGGACTCTCAAAGATTGACTTGGATATAAAAAAGTCAAGCCCACAGACAATCCCAGAAAAATAATCGAAAATTCATGAGAAGAGCAATTGTGTCGAGATCAATAAAGTTAACTGATGATTTGCTCAAACAAGTTAAGCTTTAAACAAAGCTTCAGTTATGAAAGGATATGGCAAATGTATGGTAACTCACTTAGCAAAGCCAATGAAATCTTCATGGTTGGTATTCATGTATGCAAGTTCACATTCTACTAAGAGAACGAGCTGTTCCTTGCATTTCTGCTCTTGGTTGCGAATGTAAGAGGTAATGATACGTTCTGTTTCTTCCCGCAGCCGAGGGTAACGGTTCATCTGGAAAGCAAGCAAGTTTCATTCAGATTGGCTCCAGTACTTATTCATATGAGTAATAAGGAACAATTCATGCATACAGTACAGAGTTTAAACAACACTGAAACTCACCTTATCAGTGCAAATCCGAACAACATTAGAAAGCTCAGCAACCACAAGATCCACACATTTGAGGCTAGGCTCCTTTAGCCTAGATATTTGTTTCTTGACAATGGCTTCAAAGGCCATATCTGGGGTGAATAAACCAACTCGGATACCTGGTAGAATACAAATGCAATTATGAAAAAGATACAAGATTTTTGGTACATACTGTCTCCAATTTAGCACCTTTGACGGAAAGCTTATACGAACTAATCTTCCAAAACTTCCAAGGAAGCAGAAAATTGATAGCCTTGGGGCAAATTTCACTTTTTCAACACATAGTGATAAAGTTAAAGAGTAAAATAACAGGGAGGCTTACCATGTATGTTGCGAATGGCAAAAGCTATCTCACGACGAAGTTCCTTCTCATCAAACTCCATTTTAACTATTTCAAATGGGAAGCGTTCATGGAACAGACGGTTGATTTTAGCACCCCCAGAAAGTTCCATTGTGTTAACTAGTGCTGATCCAGAACCTTCAATAGTACGTTCGAAGTCAGATTGAAGCTGCTGTATCATTCTGTGAAAAATGAAATGACAGAGTAATCAACATGTCATACTTGTCATACTTCTTTAAATCATTTTGAATACATAAGTTAAACAACAACTTACTGCAACATGGCCTTGGTTTTAATAGCAGGATCATTGGGCTGGAAATGCTTGTACTGCTCAACATCTTTTTCTAGGGCAAGTTGTTGTTTCTAGAAAAGAAGATAAGGAATTAAAACAGAATATTGAGATATATTTTCCTCAGTCAGTCAATTAGAAACATTACCTGCAATTTGTCACGGAGTCCCGGTAAAGTATCTCTAATGTGGTTAGTCAATTGCTGATTCAGAACCCGTTGAAGGTAGGGAGTCCCCAGGCGATCTGCCATATGCCGATAAGATGGATGACTGTTAAGGTAAAAAAAAGTATAAGATGCAGCTTGCAGACAAATATGAAACAAAAACACATTTTTAATACTATTTTGAAGAGGATGAGAGAATAACATACCTGAGGAAGAATTTACGTTCTGCAGCAAGAGCAGCCTTTATGTCCTTGCGACCTTCGATATCTTTTTGAGATCTATTCACAACACCAATATAACCACGCCGCAAAGGCAACAGTTTATTCTCAAGAACTTCTCGAGCATCTGTTCCTTCATCCATTAAGTCAAGCTTGGTTATGACTCCAATGGTTCTAATACCTAACGGAAGCACAATACCAGAAGTCAAAACAAACACAAAATCCCACATAACAACAATACATTAAATGTATAAGGTAAAGCAACCATGCAATGTTTGAAAAAACAGCATCTACAGATGCATGCAATGGGATCAAGCTTGTCATTAAATTTCCTTGTTTGCATGCTTCAGTATAGTAAATACTTTGCATTTTAGATTATTTATTTCCTATTTACAAAAAGGTAAAGCTACACACTTTCGACTACATTAAACTAAACTAATGAGACAGTTAACAAGTCATCTAAAATGTGTTAATAGCAAAATGGACAGCATTGTGGAACCAAATTATTCACTGAATTGCAAGATAAGCAATATTGTCTCACCACATTCTTTCAGAGTTGTTAATGAAAGTCAGTCAGAAGAAAGGCATAGATCCTTGAACAATATCTTCCACTAAAGCATTAAAAAGAGGATCATACCTTGAGGGTCAACTTCTTTGGCTATTTTTAATGCATCACTATTTGCCAAATCTGTATTTGCTGGAGTGATGGCCAATATCAAGGAATTATCTCTCAGGATGAATTGAAGAAGCATTGACCGGATCTGGTTCTCAATATCTTTAGGTTGGTCGCCAATTGGTACTTTTGTCATACCCGGGAGATCGATAAGAGTTAGATTAAGAACTAAAAAATAAAAATAAAGAGAAAGGCAAGTGATGCATAAGATGGGTGCTAAAACATGCTGACAACATACATGGTGTCTACAAGTTACTGGTGAAGCTCCAACAACTGCAAAAAAAATTCCCAGTGAAACAAAAAAAATTACACAGTATGGAAAATGATGCTAACAAACAAAACAAAGCTAACAAGTGGAAGATGATGCCAACAAACAAAACAAAGCTAACAAGACAACAAAAATTACTTTTTATAGAATACTTGCAGGAGTGGGGATAACTACTCAACAGTACCAGGGTGCAGAAAAACAAATAAATATGATCTAGTTTGATTTTTTTGTACAGTAATGCATGGCTCATTCATTTAATGAAGGAGATAGAACAACACTACCACTGTCTCCATCTACTGAGCAAGCATTATTCATTTTGCTACAATTACATCGGAACCATACCATCAGGATCCACTTGTTTTGCAATCTGAAGTGCATCAGAATTAGCCAGATCAGTATTGGCAGGAGTTACAGCCAAAATAAGACAGGTTTCCTTTGAAATGAAGAGGTAAAGCATGTCTCTGATCTGCTGCTCGATATCAGGAGGCTGATCACCTACTGGTACTTTGGTCAATCCAGGAAGATCAATAAGTGTGATGTTAAGAACTGTTGGAAAGAAGACTTGTTACTACCATGAATTGGCTATCAGACAAGTTAATTTAAAATCTCGCCAACATATCCAAATGTTTAAAGGGGCAGTCCATATTTAAGATACACTCCTGTAAGAGAAGCTTGGAAGGTCATAAGGAGGGAGGGCCGAACAGTAGCCTCAAAAAGGGTAATATGGATAGCCCCTACAAAATGGTGCTAAAGGAGGATAACAGTGCAGCTCAAGTACACCTTTTACAACAAAGAAAAGGACAGGACATGGCATCTGTGGGAGAAAAGGCCCAACTTGATGTTTAGAAGGGACCAAACAAAAAATCTGAAATAAGGGGTTATCTGGTACACAGGGGTCCTATTATTGTCAGTATTGCAGTGTAAAACAGTTTTGCATTAATAAAATGTGTATCACAGCATCAGCAGTTCTTGATAAGACAGATAACTGTAGAAAGATATAGTAATTATGTCAACACACACACACACACACGAACACACACAGAACAACACTTACCATTGGGTGAATAAACTCTAAGATTGATAGGAACATTGGAAATTCCTTTGTTTGAGCCGGTCAAGCGGTCAGTTTCTGCCTCAATTTCTTTCCGTACTTCATCAAAGTCCACAAATTTCTTTCCTTTGCAGTGCAAAAATTCAGCATATTCTGGAAAAGAGAAGGGAGGGGTAAAATGAGAGCATGTTTCCCTTCTTTCTGGCCTGTTCTTGGCCTTATCAGGCAACTTCCTGTGGACTGCAGCTGCACAGTAATCTAACTGATGGTTGATACAAATTATACAGAAGCAATTTTTTTTTTTGAGTAGATGCAAATTATTTACAAATGTGGGTAGGAAGGAAAACAGCTAACATAACTCATCACAAACATTTGAATGATTGCATTAAGACCTAATAAAATTGCTGAAGTATATTATTAAACTAACAACAAAAATTATTACAAAGCTCACCAGAGTTAGCTTGGATCAACTGCAAAATGAGAGGTCGACGAGTCACGATCCCAGAACCACGGGGAAGAAAATCCCTGGAAAAAGGGCAAACATTGAAATACAATCAAACTAGACAAGTTTTGCCCTCAGCAGATGCAAAGTCAGAGTTCACATGGAATTGAGTTTTGGAGCGAAAAAGATTGAAATTTAAGATGGCCTACTTGAATGGCACAGTGAATCGGCATTTGAACTAGGAAATTCATCGGGTAATTCAGTGTTTATTTCAGAGATAATTAACCGTTAAAGGGGTCAATATCATTGTGATAAATACAATTTGAAACAATTTGTTCCTATTTTAAACACCACATTCAAGGCCTTATCAGAAAATCTTGAGATGTTTCAAGCAAAAGAATTCATGCGAAGTCCTGTGCAAATTCAATTATCAACTTTTTCAAAATTTAAATATATACAAGTTAGAATTTAACGATTTACTTGTAAAATTGACGATAAACAACAGCAAATGCTGAAAAAATGATAGGAATGACAGTTTGTGACACTTGACAGTTAAAGCCTCCTGTCAAACAAATCAATGAAACTGATACCAAGGAGCCCACAGACCCACTTTGACAGGTGTGGTTAAGGTCACCTCTTATACTGTTCAGAAAGGGGGAAAGCTTTCCTGTGACACGTCTTTCATAAATGAGCAAAATTACGCAGTCCAGAGGACTTAAAGGCAATAAAGGTAATGTCATAGCCCGAAATAAGTAAATTCAAGCATTACAGTGGGCACCACCTCCAGGACTTTCGATCGTGACATTTGAAGATAAGATGACACGTATCAAGGGGTCACTCTGACAGAGTCGACCTACAAAGATTACAGGTATCAAGCGAATACATGGGAGTAAGAAATAAGAAGGCGAACTTACTTGCCAACGAAGTTTTCCAATACAGAAGACTTGCCTGCACTCTGGCCTCCCACAACAGCAATTTGTGGGAGGTCCAGCTGCATATTAACCCCAAGTTGCGTGAAGGCATCTTGAAGTTTGTTGACTATGGGGATCAACGACTCCATCCCCACGTTACCTGCCATCGTGACGGACTTTAATTCCGTCTAAAAAATACCAATGCTCAGGTGTCTGTTTGTCTTCTACTGAGGGGTGGAAAAGTAAGATGGCGGAAAACCCACAATGCACTGCGTCGAGATCGAATATTTAGGCACGGCCACACGGATTTTTTAATGAGAACAGTCAAAGCCCGTTCAATTCCCTTCGAGAACGACCTATAAACCAAATTTCGTCTCTAAACAATTCAAGTTGCATTCAAACGCAGGCGCATATGACGGGACATAATCATGAGATAAGCCGAGATAAGGCTGTCTCTGTCATGCTGTGATTCGGTCACTCGAGTGATGAATCATCTGTCATGAACCCCCTCCCCCCGCCCCCCTTAGGCCCCTACCACTTTTGTCCCCCACCACTTTTGCCCTAGCCTCATCCCTCCCCCTCCCCAACTACATTGCTATGAAATGAAAAGGTACACATTTTAGGAGGCACTTCTACTTTCAAAATGTCGGACGTTGACAAGTGGATAGAAATAGCTAAGGAGTGCAAATATTTGCCAGAGAACGATCTGAAGGTACGTCCATTCAGTTTTTACTGATTTCAGCAATCGGTACTTTCGCCTTCGCGGTAGAACATTGAATGTCAGTGACGGCCACTGTTGCCCGCCGTCCCAGTTGTGGGAGTGTTGTCATTGTATTTTCACATTCCTCTGTACTTATTTTCAGAAACTCTGTGATCTTGTGTGTGATCTCCTGTTGGAGGAATCGAACATTCAACCCGTTCTTACACCTGTCACGGTGTGTGGAGACATCCATGGACAGGTACGACATAACCTAGCTCGTTATTTACCTTGTTTCAATTGTCTCACTTGCATACAACAAATAATTTATCACCAATTTATTTGTTTCAGTTTTATGATCTTGAGGAACTGTTCCGCAATGGAGGCCAAGTCCCTGACACCAACTACATTTTCATGGGAGATTTTGTCGACAGAGGCTACTATAGTTTGGAAACATTAACTCGTTTACTTACCTTGAAAGCAAAGTGGCCTGACCGCATCACTTTACTCCGAGGCAACCATGAGTCTCGCCAAATAACTCAGGTTTATGGATTCTATGGTACGAAAATTGCCTTGGAATTGTTTCTTAGGCACTGTGTGCGTTAGTTTCACTTGGGTTTGCACTAGGCTATGAATAGGCTATACAATTAATTATGAAGCTGCTAAGTCAATCGTTTTAAGTAAAATTGATGTCATTTATGTTTCTGGAAAGGATTGCAGCTTGTCTTCATTTTGCTGTTAACATTTGAAGATAAAGGAATGAATTCATTTTACTTATACTTCAACTACCAATTTTCAGATGAATGCCAAACTAAATATGGTAACGCCAATGCCTGGAGGTATTGCTGTCGAGTATTTGATCTTCTTACAATAGCTGCAGTAAGTATAGGGACTCAGTTTATGAATTATGGCAACCTACCTTGTAAACACTTTACCAATGTTTCCTTAAAACAGAGCCTCCCAAAGCCCTGATCCTCTCAAAGTTAACCCTTGTAAATTTATTTTCAGCTCATTGATGAACAAGTATTGTGTGTCCATGGTGGCCTATCCCCCGATATCAGAACACTTGATCAGATTAGGAGCATTGACCGAAACCAAGAGATTCCTCACAAAGGTTTGTTTCCTGTTCTGCCTTGCAACCAATTTTGCTCAATTAAACACTCGTTTACCTTTCCTTTCTTTATAGGGGCTTTCTGTGATCTAGTATGGTCAGATCCAGAAGATGTTGAAACTTGGAGTATAAGCCCTCGTGGTGCAGGTTGGCTATTTGGAGCTAAAGTAACTCATGAATTTATGAAGCTCAACAACTTACAACTCATTTGTAGAGCTCATCAGTTAGTCCATGAGGGTAAGTTGATTAGCTATTTATGTTCAATCAACTACTTTTGGACTCTTAAAAATCTTATTTCTATTTTTTGATCTTCACAATATTTAGGTATCAAGTACACGTTTGATGAGAAATTGGTAACTGTGTGGTCAGCCCCTAATTATTGCTACCGATGTGGTAATGTGGCTTCTATTCTTGAATTCAAGAGCATTGATCATAAGGAGGCCAAAATATTTGCAGCTGTGCCTGATAATGCCAGAGTAATACCACCTAGAACTTCAACACCATATTTTCTGTGATGCTGCTGGGCAGGTTGCCACGTGCTGACTGCTTCAGTATTATTATTATCATCAAATTACCTGAGTATGTGAATAAATTTTTTCAATGTTCAGATTTTGAGTGAATGTATGTGGAATATTGATTTTGACTGGTAGTCTACAAATGTTTTTGATGATGGATGTGTACATGTTTTACTATGGAAACTTTTAAAAGTGTTTTGAATTATTTTTTGATTCTTAGTTTTACTGCCAAGCAGAAGTGTGATCAATTACGAATTGAGTAACTGGTTTTCCTACATTTTTTTAACAGTTATGCAACATAATTCATTATGCTTACATTGGACCAGGCCATGGACCATAATACCTGTATTGTCGAAGTGTTCTATTTGGGTCCTGTTTTATATCTATAAACAATTGATTTGTGTCTTCGATAATTTTGGGATCATAGTAATTATTGTGTTTTGTTGTTCATATCAACTATTAAATACATGTGTGAAGCCCATTGTCAAATGAATGTTGCTAACTTCATAAAGATTTCCTGGTGGAGAAGAATACTACTGCAACAAGCCAAACTCCTCAATAGTTAGTCCAAAATGAGGTCAACACTCGATTTTGGGAGGTGTAATAATGACTTCTGAGTAAAGAAAACAAGTATTTTATGAAAGTAGAAATATTCTAAAACACACATAACTAAAGGAAACATCAATAAAAATTAAACAATTATACTCATGAACAGTTTTTTTTTTTTTTTTTTTTTAAGTCTATTCTTCCATATAAAACTTTCAAGAGATTACAGTAAATCATAAGTTCAGAACATAATCATGTGGTACTTGCCTGCAGCAACTAACACAGAACACAGGTGATATATGAGGCTCTCACTTGGTACAAGTAAAGTAGAAATTCCAGATGCTAATTTCTCCAATAATTATCATTTGGGTCAAATTTGTCTCGGAGTGCCTGTAACAATAGAAATAATGATGGCTGTGAATTAAACTGTTAACAAGAAGGCACAATGTACAAAACAAGAAGAATTGTGATTCTTACTCTGAATCCATTAATAACAGAAACGTCAGTCCCAAGAGGGATCAAGACAGTAGGAACGTTAACTAAAGGGCATAAATAAAATGTGCCAACCACATTACCACTTTTGTTTCTTGACAGGTCCAACGATTTGGGAAACTCATCTGAGCATCTGTTAGTGGCAAAACAAACTCTTAACATTTGAACATTGAACATACCAGGGATGATTTTAAAATAAATAATGATGATACCGTACCCATCAAGGCTCGAAAAGAGATATAATTTATCTTGACGTGTAATTTTCTTTAATTCGGGACTAATGCCTTTGTTTTTTAAGACTCTAAGTAATGAGTCACTTGTGCTAAATCTTGTAAACTTGCGGGCCAATTCGCCCATGCTGACAAAGGCCTTTTCGTCAACATTAAAGATGTGAACACATTGGTGGCAAACCTCTGCAGATTGAAAGAAAGGGAAGCAAGTAAAAAACATAATCAAAGCACTCAAACCACAAAGGTAAGTCAAATACTGTAATTACAATAAATAGGGTTACCTTCTGCTTTCCAATAGTTAGTAATGCATGGAGAGTCCTGTACAATGGACATGTTTCCAACACTCTGTACCAAGTCTGGTGCACCATAAAAGGGGGACGATGAAGACGACAGTGTATCAGATTCATACTCATCCAAATGCTCCACTACCAAATCACTGATGCTACTGGATGATGAGTTATTCGACATCGGTGTAAGTCTGAAAGACTTTCTACCTTCACTGTGTTTGGAGGGAGTGTTAATCTTTTCTACGAGTCTTTCTCCACTGAAAGAGCTAAGAGATCTGGAAGGAGTAGATTTCCCTTCCCCTTCATCTCTTTTTTCTGCTAACTCCACCCCAGATTTGTTAAGAGAAAACACATTAGAAGGAGCTTCAGATGTGCTTTGACTGACATAAGTGTTGGCTGGAGATGTAGCAGGCCCTGACGGATAATAGGCACTAGCATTAAGTCCAAAAGGACCCAACCAGGGGTTGTTGGTAGGATTTCCTGCAGGCACCGCTACCCGCTGCAAATTGAGCAGACTCTGCTGATAAAGACTTTGATAGTATGCAAGCAAATAGGCTTGTGCTTGTTGCTGTTGTTGCTGCTGCAGCAAAACTGCAGCATTCATCTGCAAAGCCACAATACACAATTATAAGTTTCTCCCCAAAATTTAATTTTAAAATCTTAAAAGGGAGTTTCTTTTAAATATACCTGAGGTGAATACGCAGAAGAGAAACCAGGTAAAGTTTGATTAAACATTAGATTGTTAACATTGTAAAATGGAGATGTTCCTGTACTGTTCAATACAGGTGGCATTTGTGCTTGTCCAGTAGCAACAAAGCCTGGAGGCGGTTGCTGCGGCTGCTGCATTTGCTGTGTTTGCTGAGGTAACTGACTGGCCTCTGACTGCTTCAACTTAGGAAGAAAATAGATTGAAGGTAGAAACAATTAGAATACTGCCTGGTCTATAAAATGTAAGCTGTTCCTTTTATGGGCAGACAAAAAGAGTCACTAACCTGTTGAACAGAACTAGTGCTCACTGGTTGAGCAGGTGACTGGGGCTTTTTGATTGGGATAACAGTTTCTTCTGGCTTTGGTTTGGGTTGTTTTTCCTCCTCTACACACTCATTTGTATCAGTGAGTAATATTTCAGGTTTAAACATTGCATGATTTAGATTTACCAGTACATCATTAAGGTGTATGTCTGTGTCACCAGTGGTATCAATTAAGAAGAGTTCAAGGAAAGGTTTCTGAAACCAAATAAAAAGCCATGACTAGATAAATAACCAAAGCTCTATAGTGATGTGATGAGTTCCAGAAATTAAATCATATCAGCACATTAAAAAGAAAATTAATAAACATTATAAAAAAGTTTTTTAAAAGAAACAACTTACCTGAAGCTCAATTTTTTGAACCAATCCTATTAAATGCTTGTCGGCGACAAGATCAAGCAGTGCTCGGTTTGCCTCCATAGTAAAAGTTTGTCTCCCATTTACAGGTTGAATACCTGAAAGCGACGCTTGAATTGCTTGCACTGGCAAAACACTAAAATCACTGTGGAGGAAACGGAGCTCCTTCTTAGAAACTGAAGCTACAGTTCCATAGTCCACATAAAACACCTGTACATGAAGTGAGGGAGTAACACATATTATTGCTTCCAGTATTCACTCATCAAGATGTGATGGAAAACTTAAACTCACTTGAATAGTTTTACCAACTGATGTGATGGTAGCTCTGTGCCATTCACTGTCATAAATAGCGGCACAGCACTGCTGTACCGTTATGGTTGAGTCAGGCATGAAATACTTATCTCCATGGTCTTTATAAAAATCTCTACAGCAAAATAAAAAAATGATTTAAAAAAATGGTACAGAAATAAATGTTTTAACCATTTCTGTATTGTAGCTTTACAACACTAACACACAAAACCAAAGTTATTACTCACTGTAGTTCATCCATCAGCTTGTCTAACAGAACAGACTTCTCCCGAAGCATAACCCACAACTTAAAAGGATTGTAGACTTCAGCTACCCTGACTTCAAGATAGTCACCAGGTTTCAGGTCGGGAGGCAATTGGGGAGGAGAAAATGACTCCTTTGGACCCATCACTTCACCAGGGAAGAACCCAAGTTCCTTTATATCATCCTGAAATCAGGCGTTTAACTCCATATGAGAAACTATGTCCTAGAAGGTAAATAAAATTTAAACATTTGGTAAGAAATTACCACAGAAACTTCTACTGCAGGCTCTGCAACTGTTTTCAATGGTGGAGCCCCCGGCAACACATAACATTCTTGACGTATGTAACGGAGCCGGATGATGGTGCCATCAAGGGATGTGAGCAAGCTTTCTGTACTATCAAATCCAGGAGCATCATGTGCCAAAGACCTGGAGTAATGTTCCTGAAGTAGATTCATCAATAAGAACCTCATCAAACATACAAAAATCATTTTGACATGAAATGAAGCAGAAACTCCTTACATGATACAACTCTGCTAGCTGATCTGCACGAATTCCTGATGTGTACTTCTTGACAACATCAAAAATCTTACATTTTACTGTTTCAGTCAAAATACATACTGAAAAATAAAAATAAATTTTTTATATCAATTGTTAAAATTACAACAACAGATGAGTTCAAGATGTGGACCAAAATTTATTGAAATTTAATGAAACACCAACCTTCTTGAGCTGTGTGTTCACTATTTTCAACATCATTTGCCACAGACAAGGGTGAGCTCGCATCATACAACATCCAATCTCCACCTTGAACCCTTTTACACACAACTATGTCTGGCAAATCATGAAACATTTGGACAATACTATCGTAGCCCAGCTCTTTCCACTGTAAATTCACACCATAAGTCTCCTAAAGGGAATCAAAAGACACACAGGCAATAAGTTAAATGAATAGGCAAGGAACAGCACTAAAAAAGATTTGACGATCAAAATAAATCTAACTTTATATTTTTCAGGAAGTACACAAGCCCACAATCCCTCTGGATAGGACTTAATTAGATTTTTTAAATTATTTTTGAGTGGATCACTGATGGCATCAGAGGATTGGAAATATGGTTTTGTTGTAACAGTTTCACAAGCAGGTTTAAATTTAGATGCGTCGTCATGATTGTCCTCCTCCTTAAATCTTCAATAAAACAAAGACAAGGCAAATGGTGATCATTCTCTTTAAAGGAAATTGTTATCACATGTTCCAGTATAGTTCTTATACCTTTCATAAAAACTATCTTCACTGTCTTCATCTGAGCTGTATCGTTCAGGTGCATAATTGACCCTATGTGAAGGCTGGGAATCTGCAATGTGAATTAAAATTTGCCACATAAACAACATAATGCAAGTGCATGAACACATTGAGGTCACACCAGACATCTTAAGGCAAGGAGAACCAAATCACACAGTGGAAACACTTTTTTAATGAAATGAATCAAAACTGATTCATAAATTCTATGCTGCTGATATGGACACTGAATGAAGTTTGCAAAGATACCTTCAACAGCATTTTCAGCATGCTGCTTCCTCCAATCTGTTATGAATGCTTCTCCTGACCAACCTGCTTCTGTGGGAGTAGGGGTCCTTGTTACTGAGGATGTGGTCCTTGATTCCGGGGGTGGATTAGACAGAAGTTCTTCTGCCCTCTTCTTCAGCTTTGCTTCTCTAGCTGCCTCAAAGAACTTTTCAGCGGAGGAAAATGGCGGTGGGTCATTTCGCTCCTTCGACCTGCTTCTGCTAGCTGCTTCATAAGCATAGCTTGATCTGTCAGTTGCTTGATATGACCTGTCTGTTTTACTGACTGCTCCAACTGTGTAGCTAGCTCTGCCACCTGATCCATAAGAACTGCTTGGTGTTTCATACGAACGGCTAGCGTATGAACTTGGAGCCCTATAGGAATTGTAAGATGAGTTTGACTGTTGAAACCTTGGAGCCCGTGAGAAACTTGAAGGCCGCGAGTAACTTGAAGGCCGCTGTCCATATCTGTTAGAACTGCTATAGCCACCACGCCTTGGCCTGAAAGCAAAATGCCATAATAGATAAAATATTTTTCAATAGAATGCAGAATAAAACAGGACCCTACTCAGATGTACTTTTTTGATGAGTCTCTTTGGAGGGCTACAAGTCGAGCAATATGTTGTGTTTCTTCAGTGGCAACAGCTACCACAGTGCCACCTGGAAGAACCTGAGGGAACAAGGTGAGGAAGTGCTGAGGCAAATGTGGAATAAGATGAGATAGGTGAATGTATGACTGAACTTACTCTGACCGTATCTGGAATAGACTCCAGGAAAGACGCAAAGGTTCTGTAACCCAAAGCAACAAAAGGACATTCATAGCCTTCATTTTGTCGAAAGTCTCTTTGCAGATCATAAGTTGACATGGACCGTTTAGTGGACATAACAAGGCTTCTGAGGATAACCTTGACGGTATCCAAGTCAGCCATGGTGTAATTCCACTGCAAAACTGCCAATTAACTGCACCTGTGACATGAAAATACTAGGTTATGCTAGGTTATGAGCCCCAGCGAGCTCTGTTTTCCTCCACTTATAACTACTAAAGGGTTCATGAAATACAATGGAATGAGATATAAAATCATACGACAGGGTAAACAAATAGAAAAGGTTTTTTCATAGTCAAAAATACACATGGAACTGATGGAACTCAAATACGGTATGCCAGAGGGAATGCCACTCACTAGAATTCAGTGGCCTAGAGGTGCCACTGCTTGTAAAACACTTTTGTTGGTAAACAACAAAACGATGATTGCACGTCTGAATTAATAGCAAATAATGGCAGAGCTAGCCAAGCGAGACGGGAACGAGAATTAACGTTGTCACCGCACCACGGCGTACGAAGAGAATCCTTAGATTACTGCTTCAGAACACGCATTTAGAAAATAGACCAGACACGAGAAGTAACGGTTAAATTTTTCATAGCCGGCTTTTGAGTGAGAACAGCGGTACCAGCCTTTGCGGCAAAACCTCCCATCTTTTGTTGATTTTTATTGAATGATAATTCGTGCGTTCATAAGGATGTAACAGTGCATTTTAAAACGAATTTAATCAAAATTAGTATAATATGGAAACCTTGAGAGAGCTTCGAAAGAAGATTTTCGTTATTTCCTGCGAATAACAGAATTTGTCTGTTTCCAGAAAGCCGTGTACTGCGAATAAGGATAAATGCCTGTTTGTGTTTGGCCGGTTATTCCCCCTGTCTAGACGTGGAATATTTCTCGTTTGATGATGTAGCAAAGCAAACAATTAATCAATTGTAAGACGCCACGGAAGAGATACTCAAGCACGAAGCACACACAATGGAAGAATCGGGTAAGAAGAGAAATAATATCAGTTCCCTATGTCCCGTGTCATATCAAGTGTTATTTCATCAGCCTATATTGCACTTTTCAAAAAGAGTTGTACTTCTATTTTTCGCTTGATTTCAGACGAGCAAGACTGTTTCCTTGAAAGAGGCTACCAGACTATTCTGGCGGAGCAGGCCTTTGAAAGTAACAAAATTTTATTCCTGCCAACGGGTAGTGGGAAAACTTTTATCGCTATATTGGTCTTGAAAAGAAAGTTCCCCTTGTTGGAACCGTAAGTACTTACAATTGGCTGCAAGTGTTATTTCCTGGGGTCAAACATTTTAAAGTTTTTTGTTCCTTCTTCAGGCCTTTTTCTAGAGGGGGCAAAAGAGCAGTTTTTCTTGTTAACACGGTTGCTCTTGTTGAACAGCAAGCTGAAGTCCTGAAAAGGCATCTACTAATTTCTGAAGTAGGACAATATTCTGGTGATATGAACGTTGATTTTTGGAACAGGGCCACATGGCATGATGAATTTGAAAGATTTCAGGTCAGTCTTTTACTTTGAAACTAAAACACACTAAATCAGACAGTGTTTTGATACCAATATTGCATTACATAATTTTTTTTTTCTTTTCATTTAATTATGCAGGTGATGGTCATGACAGCTGAAATATTGAATCAACTGCTCTTAAAAAAATATATATCTCTCTCAGATTTAGCCATTATGATTCTTGATGAGTGCCACCATGCTGTCGAGGATCACCCAATGCGACAAGTGTGTTCCTCATTTCCAACTTTCTCTTCTTTTTAACTATCATTTTACATGCGTTCATTGAAAAGTGCATCCCTAATGAGTGCATAAGTCTAACAAAATTTGACTAAGGGACATCATGCGTTTTTATGTGATTATAGATAATGAGATTGTTTGAGGATTGCCCTAAAAGCCAGCAACCAAGGGTGATTGGCCTCACAGCAACACTTTTAAATGGTACACCCAAATCAGTTTATAGAGTGCAAGAGGATGTAAAGAAGCTTGAAATAACTCTGCATTCTACTGTAGCAACTGTTGATTCATGGGATATTGTGAAGCAGTAAGCAGCAGCTTTAAGTAAAATTGACCATTGTTAACAAAAAAAAAGATTACTATTAGTTTAAAGTTTTACTTTTATCTTAACTATTGTAGATTTTCAACAAAGCCCAGGGAACAATATATTACTTTCCAAGACTACTGCGGTGCTCAACAAACAGCATTCATTCATCAAAAAATTGATGAACTTTTTATTTTATGTAAAGAGTTTAAATTTGTTACTGAAAATAATCTTCTAAATGCCGCTAAGTTTGAAGAAGGGTTTGTCCCAATGATGTCCGGCAAGAAAAATGAAGTGTCTAATCTTCTCATTCAAGTTTCAGTAAGTTTCTGGCTCTTAAAACAGTGCTCCCTCAAATTTGAGTTAGTTAGCTCTTAAATTATGTGCTCATGTTATTATAATTGCAGAAACAGCTTAATTGGCTGGGGCCCTTTGGCTGCTTGAGAACAATCCAAGCTGTCTTTGTTACTTTAAGACTCATGCAACAGAAGATGGCGAATAAAAGTAGTCACATTATGATTCATTCTCTATATTGTGACCTTTTTGCACTGAGGTAAGACAAACTGCTTGCAACTGGTTTGATACAGTATTGTTTTACAAAGGTTTGTATCCTGTCAAGGTCTGGGTTAGTTTGTTAAAATAAAAATTGCAGTAGTTAACATTTTGGGTATTGCTGGTAGAACAATATTCAGGTTTGGACCTTGTCTGATGGGGATTCCTATTTCACTCAGGCAGAAACCTTTGTTCTTGAATCACGGAATATGTTTGTTTTCAGCCGACAACTTTTCAAAGTTATGGATATCAGAGAGTCTATGATAGAGAGTGGTAAAGCTTACCATTTCTCATCCCCTAAAGTAAAAGCACTGATTCGTTTATTGGAAACTCATAACAATGAGTGCAACTCTCAACCAGAAAGTAAAAGAGAGCCATTGCAGGCTCTGATCTTTGTTGAAGAGAAGATGACAGCTAAAGTGTTGAGCAGTGTTTTGAAAGTGAGCTTCAATTTTGAGTATTGGTTACTTGTGCTGATTGGAGTATTCCTTGTGACCCACTTCTCTCTTTATATTTGTGCAGAATGTAGCTAAAGAAAATGAGAGGTATGCCTTCATAAAGGCTGCTTACATTGTTGGGGGCTCTTCTAACCCATTTTCTGAAACATGGGAAGGTGCTTACAATAAGCATACTAATGATAAAATTATAACAAGGTTTGTAAGTTAAGCCATTTTAAGAAATTATTAGGATGATGAAGAACTAACTCACCTCAATTATTTTGGACATGTTTCTCACTGTAGATTTCGAGAAAAGATCACAAATGTTCTGGTCTCAACTGATGTTTTAGAAGAGGGTATTGACATTCCCAACTGCAATTTGGTTGTGAGATTTGATATAGCTAAAGGCGTCAGATCCTACATCCAAAGTAAAGGCCGGGCTCGGCACAGTACTAGTTTATTCGCACTGATGGTTTCAAGCAACGACCGCAGCAGATATATTGAAAAAATCAACTTTTTTTGTGAAATTCAGGCTGAGCTAGAAAACGTGAGAATTTTGTTCACAGTATTTTCTTTTGCTTTTTGTGTGTTGTTTTTCTTACATTGCATTGACATGTTGATCTAAGTTACTTAAAAATAGTTTCTTTTTGATTACAGTTTTTAGTGGGTCACACATCAGAGAGAACATCACCATGAGAGCTTGATCTAAGTTACTTAAAAATAGTTTCTTTTTGATTACAGTTTTTAGTGGGTCACACATCAGAGAGAACATCACCATCAGAGCTTGAGCTTGAGTGTCTGTATGAAGCATCCATAGAACCATATTACACCCCTGTGGGATCCAAAGTGACAATGACATCTGCCATCCAATTAGTGAATGGGTAACTAGCTGGATTTATATTTTTCTGGCTCTACTTGTACTGCACATAACAACTTTATTCTTCAATAGGTACTGTATGTTCCTAGCTCATGATCGGTTTTGCAAAGTGTTTCCTAGTTGGCAAAAGAAGAAAATGGGCATACGAGAAATTGTTGCAATAAGATTACCCAGACTATCACCTCTCCAAGATTTAGTAAAGGTAGCGTGCACTTCCAACTTCCTAAATATTTGCTTAATGAATCTTCACTATTTAGTCTTTCCTCTCAATATTAAGTTATAAAAAAATTGTTGACAGGGAAGACCAATGGAGAATCTTCGAATAGCCAAAAGAGCAGCTGCTCTTGAAATGTGTAAACGGCTTCATCAAATTGGAGAGTTAAATGATTACCTATTACCAAATGAGAAATTTCTTGCTGAGGCTGATTTGAAGTTGCTCCTGCCTCTGTGGCAAGAGGAAGGATCAGATTCAGAGGCTAAACCTGGGACAGCAAAGCGAATGCGAAGTTATCCTTTGCATGTATGGTTATTTTTTTCATAAAAAAATTTCCATGGTTAACATTTTGAAATAGTTGGACTAATTTCAAATTTTAACAGATTCCTGATTGCTTCCAAGATTGTGCTCCTGCCCCTGGACTTGTATATTTACACCACATTGAAATTAATCCTGTATATGCTAAACCAAACAAAGGCAGAAAGTCAGTGATTTATGAAACCTTTGCTCTGAAGAGAAATTTTGCAATAATTTCATCTAAACCTTTTGGCAATGTATGATGTATTGCATGACTCTTTAAATTGTCATTTTCTATCAGGACATAACAGTTAATAATCAGTTTTTCTCTTCAACCTGCTTTTTTGCAACCAGGTCTGTCAATTTCCTGTATTTTCCAAGTTTGGCGAAATTAATGTCAGTGTCTCAGCACACAAGGTAGTCCTGATTACAAAGGACGAGTACAAAGATATTGCTCAGTTTCACTGGAATCTCTTCACTTCTATTATTCCAATGGCCAAAAATTATTTGGTCTACTCAAAAGAGTCTTACTTGCTTGCCCCTACTATATTGGGTAATTATTGAGAGTGAATAACAAGCTTTTCTATTTTCTTTTTGATATGTATTTTTATATACATTTAATGATGCAAACGAAGTGCTTTATTAATTGATTCTATTCCAGATGCAAATGGAGAATTTGTTTTGGATTGGAGTTCATTGAAGTCAGCCATCCACCAGAGAAGTCGTTCTTCAAATATCCCGGCTCTCAATACTGTGATAATTCCTACACATCGGGGATCATCTTATGTAAACGAGGTACCAAAATGATTTCATTTTGTACTAAAATATTACTGTATTGTCTTCAGAGTTCAAAGACCGTGGCTGTTTCTCATTTGCAGGCATACTTTATTACTCGAATCTGCTCTGAATTAAATGGGCATAGCCCATTTCCTAATGTATCTTACTCATCATACTCTGACTACTATTATAATAGACACAGATTTACAATAAGCAAGCCTGAACTGCCTTTATTAGAGGCTCAACCCATCAGTGTAATTTCAAATGACCTCATTCCAAGGTGAGATTCGCCAATTCTTGATACCCTTGTATACAGTTTCTTTTTGCTGCATAAAGTGTCTTGTTTCATAAGGACCAAGACTTCAAAGGTGGATGATGAAAACATTTCACATTTTCCAATGGAATCCTGCAAGGTACTGTGTGCAGATGGATGCCTATTACTGAAGGCGTCTTTGCTGCCATCCATCCTTCACCGTTTAGAGCGGTTTTTGGTAGCTGATAATCTACGAGTAAAAATTGCTCAAGGAATCGGACTGAAGGATGAATCCTTGTGTAAGAGATGATTTAATTTTGTTTGGCAGTCAGGTTGTCATAAAACATTCAAAACAATATTCAATTAATATCATATTTGTTATTTTGTTTGCAGACAAGGAATGCAGTGTTTGGGTAGGATTATCAGGCTACATTGACAAGTCTGAAAGTTCAAAAGTCACTTCACCCAAATCCGCTGTGTCTTTTGTGAAAGACAGCCCCCCTAGTAAAAAGACAAAGCTATCTTGTGGGAAGCCATGGAGCCACCTTGAGGAGCCTACAAATGTGGAACATGATTTTGAGAATATTACGGTAGAAGATATTGATAGGTATGGAAAGTTTGTTCAGACCAAACTCTCTGTTAGGAAATCCCCTCACCAAATTGTAAGTAAATAAATGGAGCATTGAAGCACGATAAATTTAACCATTACTTCCAAACACAGTTTAATTAATTTCATTTTTAATTTTGCTATTTTGTGTCATCAAATAAGAGTGATGACACTTGGAAAATACCTCATCTACATGCTGGTGAAGGTACTATCAACTTATTGAGAGGTTCATCAGACATTCCTCATCCTTGCCATATTCTTGAGGTGAATTTTGTTTATTTAATTTTATACTGCTTGCTGAGGTATATTGGTTGACCTTAGCTGCAATTTGTAGGCAATGACAGCTGCCTCTGCTAACGACTTCTGGAATCTTGAAAGATTGGAGACTCTTGGAGATTCTTTTCTTAAATTTGTTGTCTCCTTTGTCCTGTACAATCGTTTCCCTGACTTACCTGAAGGGAAACTGACTCAAGTTAAGGGTCAAATTCTGGGAAACCGAAACCTGTATTACTGTGCTAAAAATAAGAAACTTGCATCGTATTTGAAGGTTTGTTGATTATAATTAATAAATAAGCCAAATTCTGGCTATGCACAAATATTCAGTACTTCTGTCATACTAGGTACAAAAAGTGGTTCCCAGTGAGGGATGGATTCCACCATCTTTTTCTATTCCTGAGGAGATTTTGGAGGAAAATCTGATGGCCTTGGTGCGACGTCTCGACCTTTCTCAAGAAGAACAATATGTTGGAGTTGTGAAACAATCCTCAATAGAGGCCTTAAAGGAAAAAGCCATCTCTCAGAATATACCACTGACTCCAATGGACCTCAACCATCATGTAATTTCTGACAAAACCGTAGCTGACTGTGTGGAGTCCCTGATTGGAGCACATTTGCAGGTATGAATATTGAAAGTATGTCAATAAACTTCTTGTCTTTTTACTTACTACCAATGTAACGTGTGGTTTTTTTTAGGAGTGCGGTCCTATCATAGCTATTGAGTTTTTGGAATACATGATGGTGGTGCCAAAAGGATCAAAGGAACTTCTGCTACCTACATTTCCATCGAAGCCAGGAGGTCTAGTAGGACAGCCCTCACATCTAGCAAACCTTAAGGCATTGCAAGACCTATTGGGATATAAGTTTAATAATATTAATCTACTTGTTGAGGCCCTTACTCATGCTTCAACTCCCTCAGCATCGAGTACTTATGAGCGCCTGGAATTTGTAGGAGATGCTGTCATTGGTAATATTGTGGAGGAAATTTTCAGAATGTATATAATGTCTGCTATGTCTTATTTTACCAAACCTTTTTTTTTTTTTTTCCTTTTTCTAGATTTTTTAGTGACTGCTTATATCTATGAAAACTGTGGTAAGCTAAGCCCTGGAGATTTGACTGACTTACGCTCCGCACTTGTAAACAACATCACCTTTGCATGTTTGAGTGTAAGGTATGGGTTTTACAAGTATATGATTCATGGTTCTCCTGCACTGATGGATACCATGGATAGATTCCTTAGATATCAAATAGGAAGGCAGCATATTGTTGATGAAGAGGTAAGAAATGCATTCTATTCTTTATTTCATCTCATTTCTTTTACAAGTTTGAAATAAAACAATTTTGGTCAAATGATGCCTGTAACTTAATTCTTCAACGCACAGGTATTGATTTTGTTGGAGGAATCCGAATGTAGAATAGCGGAAACTGTAGAGGTACCTAAGGCATTAGGAGATGTCTTTGAGGCACTGATTGGAGCTATTTTTGTTGACTGTGGAAAAAAGTTTGCTCTTGTTTGGCAAATCATTTATCGATTGATGAAAAATGAAATTTGTGAGTGAAAAATGATAATGGTCCGGTATAAGCTTGAATATTAAAATCTGTAAAATAAGTTCCTATTTTAATTTTTTTTTTTTTTTTCAGGTGCTTTTAGCCAAAAGGTTCCAAAACAAGTTGTGCGAAGATTATATGAAACTGTTGGCCAGCACAATATCTCTTTCAGGTAAACTGACTGGTTTACTGATCCTTATTTGGCAATTTCAGGTAAATTTTCATTGTTCATTATGTTATTCACTGTTTGCAGGAATTCTGAATCTGCACCAGAGATACATTTGGAGCAAGTTCACATTGTTCTTACAGTAACAATTGGTTCTGAACAGCAATCATTTAATGGCTTTGGATCAAATAAAAGCCAGGCCAAAAAGTCTGCAGCGAAACTAGCACTGCGCCATGTGAGGGCTGAATAGGCTTTCCAAGCAATTTTCTCTTTTAACCTTTTGTTTAGTTTTAAGAAGTGATATAATTTTTCTACATTGCAATTTTAAATGATATTTGAAAATTGAACTCTATTGTTATCGTTAAAAATTCTATTCCTGGGGGATGTATATGAAATACTATTATACTTATAATGCAACATATTTAATCCTGAATGTTAAGCTTCCATTTTACAGTAGTTTCTTGTTATTGTATTGAATAAATATTTTTTACTGTGCGTTCAATAGATTTTGCCTGACCCGCAACGCCTGTCAGTGTCATTACAACACTTTCAAATCAGACTTTAAGACAACTGGAGGGAGCTATGGAGGCAGAGGAGTGGCGCGTTTCCATCGGATCTTTCTTGCCTTCTATGATTTGTTTGTTGCTCTGTCCTTCTCGCACTCCCGCAGGAGTGCGAGAGAGACAGCGACGAAACGACCCTTCGGAAACCGGCGGCAGGCCCGCAACGAGGCGCATGAGAAAGGCCTGGGCCGTACCGGCCGGAGGGAGCGTAGCGTGCGGGGTGCGGAGTGCGGGCCGGCGCGCGACTGGTGCTGGGCCTGGGCCTCCTCGACTCGAACGCGACTTCGCGACTCCTCAGTCGCCCGCCGACTGCCCCACCGAGCACAGCGCCCCACGGTGCTGCGCGCTGCGCCTGGCCGCGCCACCCCCAGCCTCCGCGTCGTGCCGCCAGCGCCGTCCTTCCCTCGTCGGCGGGCCGCGGCCACGGCGAGGTCTGCACGGTCTACGGCGAGCAGGCAGAGGACACTGGACCAGCATGACCGCCACGGGCGTCGGGCGAGTCCCGCAGGCGGCGCGCGGCCGGCCCCAGGGGCCCCAGTCCACAGCAGCGTCCTCTGCGTGTTAACGTGAGGGTGACTCGGGTCGCCTCGCCGCGGTCTCGCCGTGCTCGTGTTGGGCATACCGCGCGCCGCGCCACGCCGCGCCACGCCGCGAGGTGTCACCGTGTCGCCAGGCCGCTCTGCTCCGCTAATTGCCCACGTGCCCGCCTGCTGCCTGGCTGCCCCTGGCCCTTCCGCCCTGCCCGACGCCGACCTGGCCAGCGCCGTGACCGCGGCCGTGACGCAAGACCAGCAGCCGGACAACAAGCAGACGCAGCACCGCGCAGCACGCCCTGGGGCAGTGGGGTTCGGGCCCGCACGCCGGGCCTGCAGGGCCTGCAGGGCCTCGGAAGAGCAAGGTAGGCAAAAGCAAAACGCAGACACGCACCGTGCACACCTGTGCGCCCTACAGGTGCATCGGGAATCTGGCGGGGGGAGGGGAGGATCTCAAGATCACGCGGATCAGTGCACTGGTAAGCCTGGCCTCATACCTCTGGCTTCTTGAGCCTGTGGCCGGCGGGACGGCGGCATCAAGGAGCGGGGAAAGGAAAGGGGGGGGGGGCGTTATGAGGGAGCTCTGCTTAGTGTCTCCCTGGAGAGACGGGGATGGTGGCAATGGCGTGGTACAACACGATGAGGAGGGTGGTACAGGAATATAGAACGAGCTGTGCGGGTGAGAAGTTCACAGCCGAAAGCGAGTGCCCGTGGCCCCCGCCCCGTCCCCCGCTGGTGTTGGCACGGGACGGCCCCCGCACTGTCGGGCTCTTCGCATCACTCCTCACTGCGGCTAATGACTGCCGATGTCTGCCCGTCCTGCACAGGCACGGCACTGCTTGGCTTGGCCTGGGACAGAGTTTGCTTGTCCGCGCGGAAGTGGCGAGTGCCACTGCCCGGTCTGACGTCCCGTCCCGGTCTCTCGATCTCCCGGTCCGGCGTGACCCGCAAGTGCGTGTCCATCATCGCACTAGCATGGCAGCGCACTGAAGCGATGCGACACGGCGCGGCGATCCAAGGTGCGCCCTTCTTCTTAGTGTGGGCGGCGGCGGCGGGTTTCAGCTTCACACCGACCGGGCTGTAACGACGCTTTGAGAAGGTCATGAGCGCGGGACGACGTCGCGGGGCGGACGGGGACGCCGGGCCGGGCCGATGCCACCACTCGGAGGCCCTGCGGTGCCCTGCGGGCGAGGCGAGGCCCCCGACGAGGCCGGCCAGGCCGCGTCGTAAAGTTGGTCATCATGCGCGCAGTTGTATTGCCGGTTGTATTCGCGCGGACCATGTGGACGTAGACTAACGCAGGCGCAGTCGTGTCATCAAATGATCTGGCCGCTGTCACGCCCCCCTCCCCCTCCCGACGAGGAGTGGCGCCTTTTCCCCTTTCTTATCAATTTTCTTATCAATTTCTCCAAATACGGCATAAAGCGCGCCGAGCACCGAAGTATGCACCGAAGTGCCGGCAGGCCGACGGCAGGCCATCTGCTCTGCTCCAGCAGAGTTGCACGGGACGGGCCACGATAAGAAGCCCTCCGAGGCATTCCGCAAACAGACGAGCAACGCGCACCGCAGCGGCACCGCCTCCGTCAACACCGCCGCCATCCTCGCCACCGTCAACAAACTGCGACCTCTCCGATTTTATTTGGCCGTGTCCGCGGCGCGCCGGGGGCCGGCCTGGGGCGGGCCGAAGGGTTGTGTTCCGCGTCCGGAGAAAAGGGCCGGCCGATTGAATTGAGTGGACGGGCCGGGCGGGCGGCTGAGATTTGTGGCGTCAACTGTCAACGCAGCCGCGGGGGACCGAGCAACCGGGCGGCGCCGGCGGTGGATTGGCGGCAACGCGCCTCGACCCGGGGAAGGGGGAGAGGGGGGCAGGGTCCTCGCCACTGTCCGGCCCGTTGCGAGGGTACGGGAAGGTGTTCTTGGGTTTCCGGGACCGTACACCGCCCCTGGCCTCGCGATCAGGTAAACAGAACCGAGGACAGGGTTCACAGGGTTGGGGTGCGCGTCGCGCGCCACGTCACCGTAAATTTGAAAGAGGAGTCCGGAACGCCTCACTGCATGGCCGTCGCCGTGCGGCGCGACCCTGTATCGCCCGCGGCCGCGGCATCCCGTGGCGGACTGGCGGTCCCTCGAGGACAGCTCGGGTTCCTTCCACGCGTCGCCTGCCCCGCCCCACCCCGCGCCACCCCGCGCCCCGAGGTCCCCGTTCCAGCGCAGGCCCCGTTCCAGCGCAGGCCGCCTCGCAGGTAGGCCTCCGCCGTCAGCGAGCGCACGGAAGCGCGCGTGTTGCCCGCCTGCCGGGCGGCGGTGCGGCCCTGGCGCTGCTGCCTTCCCACTTCCCAGGCCGCACGGGCCGGCTTGGCTTCGTGCCGCCGAGCCGAGCGGTTTCGAACAGTCACTTCGTCGCTTTGCCTGCCTCGCGCCTCTGCGGGGCGCAAGGCGGGACGCCCCACGAGTGCGAGAGAGACAGCAACGAAAGACGGCAGCAGTGTTGGGAATCAGCGTTCTAGGTGCAGTCTGAGGAGGGCGATGTCGAGGATGAAGACGTCGAGCATGACGAGGATGAGGACGCGGCCAATTGGCGGACAAAGGGCAGAGGGCCCGCGGCTCGGATCCAGGTTCAGGCAGCCAGGCAGCCAGCCAGCCTCTTGGCCGATGGCGGCACGGCGGCCGGCCGATGAGGTTCCCGACGGTATTAATCGAGAGACGCTGGTCGGTAATTCGAGAAATGGACGTTGGGCGGCCTGCCTGTCGCTGCCTGCCACGGCTGCTAATGACTTGGAGGCGCGGGAGGGGGAGGGGGGGGGGGGTAAAGCGACCCCGCCGGGGTGCGGGGCTGGTGGGTCTGGTTGGTGGGGCGACCCAGCAGCCTGTTTCCGAAGGATCGTTCCGTCGCTCTGTCTCTCTCGCACTCGCGGCGCTTCGCGTCGTGTGGGGGCGAGAGAGACGGGGCGACGAAGCGACCCTTGGGAATCAGGCGGCAGGGCGACCGTGCTGCCCATTATCGCCGCGTCGCCGCGTCGTTCTCCGCGAGTCCCGGCCTTGCCGTGCTGGCCGTGCAACTGGTGGGATCGGCGATGCAGTCCGCCTCCGCCTCGCAAACTTTCCACATTCTCACTCGACGAGGCGGACGGGCGGGGCGGGGCGGGCCGGGGCGGGGCGGGGCGGGGCTGCGTCGGCGAGGGGGCTGTCCGGGGCGCCCTCTCTCCTCGCTGATGCCGCCAGCGCCACCGCCACCGCCGCTGCTGTTGTTGTTTTTGTTGTCGACTGTGCAGCGTATCGAGCAACCTCCAATCCAAGCCCCACTTGGTCCTGAATTGCAAATTCAGCCTGAGTGCGGCCAGGGCCCCGGCCAGGGCCGTCGGGCCCAGCAGTGCCCAGCAGCCAGCAGCAGGCGCCAGCGCGCCAGCGGGAAGCGGGAAGCGAGGCCGGGAAGCGCGGAGCAGGCGGTGCAGGCGGTGCTGCAGGCCTACAGGGAAGGCTTCACAATGGAGGGGAGGGGAGGGCGTCTTTGCCCGACGGCGCCTTGCAGTGCACTGCTCTGCCTGCTCGGAAACTGACGTCGAAAACGGTTGATCTGCGAAGTAGGGCTTTGAGATTTCACAATTGAAGTGGAAAGATTTTGGTGGGGGAAGTCATGCCGTTTTTTTGGCGCCACACTTTATTCGTGTCCCTGAAACGGCTCAAAGAAGTTACACCGGTTCATTTTCAGGGCTGGGATTTTGAAGCAGCTCCCGCGCCGCGCTGACTCACTTGATGTTTGGGTGAGGTGAAGAGGTCGGCAGCGACACTGGGAGGGACTTTCAAACACATGGGGAGGGAGCCCGCGGGGCGTTTTCAGAGGCAGTCGTCAAAGTTTGAGGCTGGGCGCCGCCAAGCTCCGCAAACCGCACCGTTTGTCCGCGGTGACCACTGCCTCAAAAAGATATTACCCTTTTCGGCGTGCGGCCGTCAACGCGGACCTTCCGGCCGCCGCGCTGACACTGAATTTCCCCGCGGCGACGCAAAGTGCCCGTTGCGAGTGGGGAGGAAGACGGAGCGGCGTCCGTCGGCCCTCCTTTCATGTCCCCTGGCGGTGGATTTCAAAACGCAACGTGCCGCCACGGCGCGCCACCCGGACGTGACGTCACTTCCTCTGGATTGTCAGTGGCGGCGCTCGCTCACACGTCCAAACTCTACGAACGCCACACCGCGCCGCGCCACGGCCGTACTTTCTCCTCTGCAAACAGAGTTCCGATTTGGCCGTAACTTTGTCGCGAGGATTAACATAAAGACAATCGTAATCCTTTTGATGAAATTAATGGCCTCCGCGTGGAGTCTCCTTCGCGCGGCGCGGCACGGCACGGCGGCTCGCGGGAGAGTGTTTGCGACAGGATTACCCCGGCGGCCGCTCGCTCGCCTCTTCGCACTGCTTCGCACTTGAGGCAACTGCAGGCCGGGAACTGAACGAGTCGGCAGACTATCTGCAAACTCACGAAGTATCAAGCCCGTGCGCTCGTTGTAGTGGAGCCGACGCGGCCGAAGCACTTCCTGCGGTGGCCGCCGCCCGAACCGGGGGAGCGTCCCGTCGCTCCGCCTCCCTCGCACCCCCATGGGACGCCCCGTGAGTGCGACAGAGACAGAGCGACAAAACGATCCTCCGGCATCGCTCGGCAGCCGCGCCGTGGGGTTGGAGTTTGGAGGGGCTTCATCCGTCATGGCCTGGACCCGGCCTGGCCTGGCCTGGCCGTCTGTTCGCGCGTGACCTTTATGTCTGCCCATTTGTCTAATTGAAGAGCGACGAATTGGCGGGCGGGCGGACCGACGGACCGACGGACCGACCGACGGACCGACCGACGGGCCCCGCGCTGATAGATGAACGAGACTCCAAGTTGGAAGAGGCCGTCCCTGTCCGCGGCCGCCTTGCCGCGCCACGCCACGCCACGCCACGCCACGCCACGCCACGCCGCGCCACGCCAAAGCCACGCCAAGCCACGCCGCGCATTCCTATGCGATACCCCAAACAGCCTGGAGCCAGTCTAGGAACGGCGGGGGCGCGGCGGGCAACTCCAGGCTTCCGACCGCGGCGGTGTGACAGACCGGCAGACAGACAGACGGACAGACAGACAGGCCGACAGACAGACAGAAAGACAGACAGACCGGCAGACCGCCGCAGGGGCGCGGGTGGAGCGTAGGGCGCGGGCGGGGCGGCGGGGCGCAGGCGAAGACAAGTCGCAGCCGCACTCGGCGACGGAAGAAAACGGATTACGATGACAGCCTCCACACAATGCAGCGCCGACGCCGCCGACGCCGCCGACGCGGTCACGAAGCTGCCGTGCTCCCCGCAGCTTGGAGGCGGCCGGGCGGACGGACGGCCGAGAACATGCTG